TATTACTCATTATTTTCCACCTATAGCCCGCGATCTCATCGCTTCGGAGCGTGGGCGTAGCTGGAACATAAATTTATAAAGCCGTCAAAATTTTTTCGAATTTCCAATGTCCTTTCTAAAGTAAAGTAGCTGGGCTATAGCTATTTCTCTCCTTTAGCTAGTGCAAAAGGTTAATCGGCGGCTGGGAGTGAACCAGCATCTTCAGTAGACCGGACTGATGTGTTAGCCTTATACCACGCCGCCTACTGCACCGCCTTAGGAATTAAATAGCTATATGCTTTACACTAATTTGATTAACTATAGAGCTAAGGCTTCCCAAACAGCCTGAGGCCATTTGAAAAATTCAATTGAAAAACATGTTTATTGTCCTATCATCGTTCTAAATCTTACTAATTTAGTTATAAATGTATGAATAAGCGCCTATATATTTATGCACATCTTGTTGCCATTATCTTGTTCATAATCTTCATACTCGTAATGATAATCAAGTCAGTTTATGACTTTCCCGAATGGCTAATAGATGGAAGTAATTTTGATGCTTATGATATAGTCGTGCTTGACAATGGAATTGCCTCACTAGTGCAATATATGTTTATTCCAATTATTATCTTTTATGCCCTTGTTGGATTAATATTGGCATTTAGAAAGGGTAAAAATTTATAGTAATGGGAATGGAAAAGCCAAATTCATGAAAAAATTTATAAAACAATTTAGAATCTGGAAAAAAATTTAAAACTTTCGGAAAATGAAGATAACAATATTGACAATATATTCCCAAAAAATTAAATAAATTGGAGATCTGAACATTGAGATATAAATTTTCAAACCTACTTAGTTAAATAGTGAGCGTAAAACTTAGTTTACAACCTTACAAATTAGAGGAGTTTCTGGTGACCAGAGGTGGGTCGGAACAGTCCGAGGTGTCGGAAATCGGAAGAGCCGGAAATAGGAACTGGCTCAAAAGTCGGAACTTGGAAATCGGAAGGAAAAAAACGTCGGAAATCGGAATTCCGATCCACCTCTACTGTTGACCAAAAAGTACCTGAAAACATTATTTATGTTATAACTTTATCGAAAATATAAAAAGTTCTGTACAATATTAGTAAATTTGGTATCACAATTCAAGTTGTGCTTATACGGAACCAATTTACCATTTAAATAAAAATTATCTAGGTTCATTTGATGATACGATGAAGAAGGTTTATCGTTCACTCATTCTAATTGTATTCTTTAATGTTGGCGGTTATGCTGTTTGCGGTTTGATAACTTCGTATATATTAATTCCGATAAATGAAAATCAGTTTTCGTTTTTACTATATGGAATGATTCCTTCCGTTTTAATTAGTGTTTCTAGTTCATCTACCGCCCCAATTCTTTACGTAAACAGGTAAATTTATAGTAATACTGTACACAAACCCGAACAATTTGAGTGTCATCTTTTAAGTATCGACTTGTGATGACCGGATACTTAAAATAGATTTGATTGGCAAAAATGTATAGTGAAGTACTGAGCGTTTTTTACTAGACATGCCACCCTAACAGCCACTTTCTAATAAAGCCTTTTTAGAGGATGTTGAACTATCGGGACTATACATAGAGTTACGTTACTTAAGATTACATTATTCTAAAAAATCTTTTTGGATGGTTGTAATCTATTTATAAGCATTGAATAATATTAACAAAATCTAAATTTCAGTAGCGACTATAATGAAGCATACAAAAAGGAATATAAGTTAATCAAACGCCTAATTTTTGAATTGTTACGAATTAAAAATAATACAATTACACCAACAACCATAACAGTATTTTGAGAATTTATTTTTAATATTTACGTTTTATTGTATGTATTTCATGTTTTTAATTTCACATTTACATAAAAACATTTTTATGCTTTTATTTTTACAACAAAACCTTCCCCTCTCACTCATTGTCTTTATATCTAACATTAAAATTGAACCTGAACTGTGTTCAATATAGCTTCCTGGACGGTCTATAAAATCTGTACATTGACTAACCATTTTTAATTCATTCACTTCTATCGTTTTGTACAAATCTCTTCTTTTCTCAAATAACCCTTCTTTTCTCAAATAACCTATAAATAAAAAATTTTTATTGAATAAAAACTTGTTGAATAATATATAGTTGGATTCAGTATATAGAGCCAAATATAAGGCCAAAAGCTTTTATGTTGTCGAATTAAAAATTATTCTTAACCAAAATAAGTAAAAGGGGTGGCTAATTAAATTAGCTTAATACACTTTTTCGTAAATAAAGCTCAGTAACATATATTATTTCCTCAATTTTTAATTTGAGGTACAAACTATTTGTATTTTAAATGAAATATTCAAAATTTTTTAAAAGCTTTTTTAATTAAAATTTCTTTAATAAATTTTGTGTAAGATCCCTAGTTAAAACAAATTAAATGTAATTACTCCGAAAAAGTTTGTTTAATTAAATATAAATATATATGTTTTTCATGCAGAGCTAAAAATAGGGTGGGAGAGCTGGCAGAGGGGAAAGCAAAAGCCGGGGGGTAACAACAACTGCCCGTTCAAGATTTGTTTTAGAAAACTTGAAAAAAGGGACATGCTTCCCACCGTAATGCATAACGAAAAGTATTAAAATTTTTATATATCTCCAATCACTACAACTTCCTCCTGCCTAGTTTTGTGCCTCCACAAATATATCTTCCTTTTTGGGTTGGTTTGAAATCGTTGTTTGTTTTATTAACGTGTAATAGGTAAAGTTAAAGTTAATTGTGAAACTATTTCAAGAATATGATCAGAATCTTCTGAACTTCCCTTATTTCATGATTATTTGAAGCAAGGGTAATTATTGTAATTGAATTTTGATGTTTTTGAAATTTTTTCGTTGAATTTTTGGTCACTACTACCCTGACACTTATAATTTGCCTATCTCAACCACTATTTTGTTGGTTCTTCTGCTGCTCATCAAATTTCATTTTTCTTGTGTCATTATCGCTATTATTTGGTTGACCCGTCGTCATCGCCTTGTTATTTGCACATGTTATTCCTCCTCTTATTCAGGCTTGCCGAATATTCGGCCAATTTCCTCGGTGAAAAGAATTTGATGAAGTTTATTAAATACTTGATTTCTTACTTAATATATGTAATACCTCTTATTTTCACTTAACCTACTATCATTGGTGCCCTAATACCGTTTAAAATTTTCTTGAGGGGATACGATTTATTATTATTATTATTATTTTTACGATCTATTATTGTAATTATTTGAGAAAATACGGCCACCTAATTTCTTATAATCTAAATATTCATATTTTTTTAAAAATATTTATTTTTCTAAAGCTTATACTTTCGAAAAATTTAATTTTTCATGAAAATTTAGCATATTTCTTATTTCTTCCTATTTACAGTCTGATGGCTAGTACCTCCACCTTTAAGACTAATAATGCGCATACAATATGTATTACAAAATATGTCCAGTGCCGATCAACTAATTATAATAAAGTATACATAGAATTTTAACCTAATATGCGGGGAATTTTATAATCGCGTTTAACCACCACATAGACTCTATTAAATTTTCAATTTATATTCTCAGGACAGACAAATATATTCTAATGATTTTCATTTATATTGAAATTAAACATAAGCTCGAACATCAAAATAAGCCAATTTTTTTAAAAGTTATGTTTCAATATTGATAATATTTTTTTATTTAATAATTATTAATGAGAAAAGTCTTGCTTTAAAACATTTTTCTAAAAGAAACTCACGCCAAAATACATTCTTTAATTATTTTTTAACGTTTAATAAAACATTGTTTACGCTCGAGTTTTTTAAAAATTATTATTTTAATTAATTTCATGTTCTCGTTTAAATACAAAAATTTAGAAGTTTATTATTTCATAAAATTTATAATACTCGTAAAAAATTTTTTAAATGAATTTTTAAAATTTTACTCTCATTAATTTTAAATTAATTTCGAGTTTTGTTACTTTTTTAAATGTAATTTTGGACTTTTAATTGTGTTGTCAACCTGTATTTGTATCGTAAACGTACCTGTGTAACAGAGGTGGTTCGGAATTCAGACCGATTTCCTTCCGATTTCCGAAAAAAATTTTAATTTCCAATTTCCGTGTTCCGAATTTTGAGCCAGTTCCGATTTCCGGCTCTTCCGATTTCCGACACCTCTGATTGTTTTGATTCACCTCTGCTGTGTACGAGTACGAGCTGAAACAGGCTGTACGAAAGTACGAGTACGAGCAATTTTCAAAATTCTAAACACTGGTTGTCACTAACGGTTATTAATTGGTGCACACATTTTCTATTAACCATAATCATACTCTAACTAATCCATTGTATTTTAGACAAATTTGGGCTTGATTAGGCAGCTATTCTTATATAGCAATACAAAGCAGAGTTTTTCTAGTGTTTTACTTTTGATTTTACTGTATGACGTCAATTAATTCAACAACACAAATTAATTTAACTTGGCTTGCTATAGACCTAGAGCAGAGCCTTTTAAGCCCGGCCTATGTGATTGTCTTGCGTACTGAAATTGTCTTGTTATTTACTATTTTGGTGTTGATATTCGAATTGATACGACAATTTTTAAAGAGACGTATTGCTATTCATATAAATCTTTTGGTATGTTTTACAGTCAAACATCAATTCGTAGTTTTGTCGGTTTTGGACCGAACCGAAGAACCGAGGTTCGGTTTCGGATATCCGAAAAATTCGGTTCGGTTCTTCGTTTCGGTTTCAAATCTCCAAAGAATTTCCAGAAAACCGACAACCCTATCAATATCAATGTGCCAATGTATTGGGAGTAGGGTTGTGGGCCCGATTCGCGCTCCGAAAGATCGAGTCGGGCCTTGAATTTTGGTCCGAAAAAGATTCGGTCGGGCCGGCCCGAAAAAATTAAAGCTATATGTAATTGAATTTGAAATTTAAATTAAATAACTTTTTAGTTGTTATTTGTCAGTATTGTCGTTCTTTATTCTATCCATTCAGCAACACAATTTGCTACTGTTCTACGTTATTTCGTAAGTATTTTTAATTTATTATATTGGCATTAGAAATCAAATAGCAAGGGATAGTTCTTCGCTTTGGACGATTTATCGAGTATAATTTTAGAAGCATAGCCATGGGTTGGGTGTAATGGCAGGAACTTAATTTGTATTACCACGAGCAGAGAAAGTGGCAAATAGGGTTGTGGGCCCGATCCTGCCCGGTCCGAAAAATCGAGTCGGGCCTCGAATTTTGGCCCGAAAAAGACTCGATAAAAATTGGGCCTGAAAAGAGGCAAGTTAAGCATGCACAACTTTCGGGTACGGTACGTAATCCGTCCATTGTCTAATATCACGCACATGGAGAGTTTATTCACTGGATTTTAAATTAAAATTTTTTAGGGAGCATAGCATATTTTTAGAGTATGTATTTTTAAAAATATTTTAAGGTTCTTCTTCTTTACTACAAGGATCCACACGAATTATTAGCACCTCTATGGCTTGTCTCATTATTAGTTGGATCTTTCTATATACAAGTAATATGTTATCCTTCGCTACATTTTTGTGTCATGCTTGAACGTTTGAGGGCAACATTGTTTCTAAATAAATATGAAAATGAGGGAAGAAAATTGGCAATTTTTATGATAACTATCACTGTATGTTACTAGATAGTACATCTTGTTTCCAATTTTCTAACTGAGGGGTTTCGAGTGGTATACTTATTGGAAATTTAAAATAAAATAAAAAAACATTCTGTTTTAACAGTAAGGAGGGGTGAGCGTTAAATTTTGGCCTTGCGTTTCGTTTTGCGTCTTGCGTTTTGTGATTTCTCTTTCGCTCACCGCTGATTTTAAGTATGAGATTAACTATTACGACTTATTTTTAATGTTAGTTTTGCTAATCCAACGAAGAGTGCTTTGAAAGCAAAAATAAAATCTTCAGCATGCCGTATCCCCATGTACAGTGAGGCCAATGTACCACCGAGCTCGTTTAATATTATCGAATACTGGAAGCCGTGATGTATTTCGATTGGATGCCTGATGTGTTTCGAATAATACAAGGGGTCATGTATTGACAAAACTTAGGAAATTTATAGCTTGTCGTTACCTTGTAAATTGGCCTCTTTCACTTGTTTTCAGATTCCAACATTATAATTAATTAAAGGGTATCGCATTTTGGCCCTAAGAAGTTCTAAAAGCCTAATCTTCATAAGGTTCTGTGGAATATTCTAAGAACTAGATCCGTCTTTGTCCGATCTTTAAGTAAAACTATGAATATTTTATCACTTTTACAGTGGGCAACTTCAATCGGTTTTATGACATTTATAATACTTGAAGCTTTTGCTGATCCTTCTATGGAAATTTTGGGAGCATTATATTTGACAACTAAAAGCACATCTGAAATACTAATTTATGTAAATATTTTGACTACAATACTGGTGATTATAACAGCATTGAGTGATTGGAGAATCACTATAATGAATAGAAGGATACAGGAATCGAGGTCAGTCGAGGAATTTTTCAGAAAATTTTCTTAAATGAAAAATAATTTCATTTAAAAATAAATATTTTTCCGTTCTTGATATTGTAAGGAAGAGAAAGATCCAGCTGCCTAGCATTTAAAACGCTCACTAGGCGGCGGTTTAAGATCTTATAAAAGAGAAGGTAAGAGCAGCGTCCCAGTAGCTCAGTTAGTTGAGCACTTGTACGTGGTGAGCGAAAGGTCTAGCAATAAATGCCAGGAGGTCGCAGGATCGAAGCCCGCCCGGGATTAAACTTTTACCTCGCTCTTACTATATCTAATTATAAGGAAGAAGCATATCTTTCAGTAACGTAACTTCTTAGCATAACTTCCATTCAATCTCAAGATTGAAGTCTGGTCTGGCTAAACTTTGCCATTTATCTTTCACAAACATCAAGTAAAAAGTATTTGAAAAAGTTTAGCATAGTCTCCCATATCTCCTCGATTAATTAAACTCGAAAAGTATATTCAAATATATCAACTCTATCAATTTTAGGGCACGTGTTACCGACTATAGCTTAAGCATAAGTTTTCAACTTAACGAGAACTTACTTTCAATGCGTTTAATTCTTCCATTGGATATTGCTTATGCAACAATTTATCTTTTATATAATTCCCTTGTTGTACTCCTTCGTTCATATAGAGATGAATTGTCAGCAGCGACTTATGTATTTTACTACAATGTTTTAAATTTGGTATAAAATTTAAAATTCTTTTTTTTCTTAGTTTTCAAAGCGGCTTTTTATTCTACTCCAGTTTATGCGTCCAATCGACTTTTATGCGTCCAATCAAAAAACAATTGGATTTTTCTTAGTATTACAAAGTTGGGTTATGGTTCCAAAACATTTCTTCATGTTCGGGACCTACGCCCACTGAGTCTGGGACCGTTCTTACCCTATCCCTCGAAATTTCGGTAAGTTATAGCCAATTTTTAAAAATTTCAGAAAAACAATTATAACATTCCGAAATTTTGAGGGATAGGGTAAGAACGGTCCCAGACCCAGTGGGCGTAGGACCCGAACATGAAGACTTTGCAATACTAAGAAAAAATCCAATTGTTTTTTATTGGACGCATAAAATTCGATTGGACGCAAAAACTGGAGTAGAGCCGGATTTTTATATTAGGAATGATAAAAACCTTTTTATTCCTAAAAATCAGAATATTTTTCAAAGTTGCTATATCTATATGCTGCTGTAACTCTGGTTGTCTACATCCGCTTCATCAAGTTTATAAGAAACAATCAAAAAAGAACTAATGAAAAAACCATAAAACTAACAGATCAAGCATCTATGCACTTCAAAGAATTGCAAAAACAATGGGGATAAAGCCATAAATAAAAAGATGAAGGAATGATAACATGTTTTAGGCAAAGCTTTTTCGAAGAAAAATGATCGAGAAAGTTAAAAAAATTAAAATCGAACCCAAAATATTCAAACACACAATGAGTTTGTAGACAATTCGATAAAAATTGTAATTTAAATCTGCTTTTGTAACTAAGAGCTTCATTAAAGTTTATAAGAAACAATCGAAAAAATCTAAAGTTCATATTTAATTTTAGAAGATAATGCTATCAAAAACAATAATTCTTCTAATAGAATACCAGCACCTTCAAAAAGGACATTCCTTAGTTGGGGAAATTCAACTGGAAGGGGGGGGGTGATTATTTTTCGATTAGTAAATATTGAAATTTGAGTGAATTTTTGTCTGTCAAGTTCAATTACCTTAGGAATAAGTTGGGCAATTGAACCATCATACATTAATATCCGCCGTAGTCGAAGGATTATTAGGATTCAAGTGATAGTAGATATATAGAAATTGTTATAATGTATATATTTTATATACCTCAGAGTCCTAATAATTTAATAGAAGTAAAAAAATTACGAGACGTTTTGGTTGGTTGGCGGTACATTAACCTAGCGCACGCCCAACCATCCGTCAGCATTATTCTTTGTTAAGTAACTTCCAACGATATGTTTGGGTTAGGGAAGGATAAAGGATGGGAAAAAATTAATGATATGAGTTTGGTCCGATTCGAGTGTGGTCCGGACTTTTTATTTTTCAATTACAAAAGAAAATATAATCCCCTTAATTCTAGCAGATTTTAGGTTCTGTTTAAACCGACAACAGTATTTCAAAGGACTTAGCAATCGAATCTTTTTAAAAGAAAATTGGACAAAATTAAATTGAGAAACATTGAAAAACAATTTTTTCTAAAACATTCAAATTTAAAAAGGGCAAATTAGACATTCGCTAGTCACTAGCCAAAATGAAAAATCGAATTATCACATGATTTACTCTCAAGTCATTTGTCAATAATAGACAGTCACGCTCTTTAATACGCCGGGCATGTCTACTCTCCCGCTCCCATCTTTCTCTACTCTTCGCCAAGATAGGCCCTCTCCTCTCCCCCCCCCCCCACCCCCCAAATTAACTATCTCCTCCTCTCCATCTTAAAATTTTCCCTTCAATATAGGCCCTCCACTCCTCTCTTTCAACTTTCATTTATAAACAGCGCTCCCTTCACTCCCCACCCCCCAAATTGGCCATCCTCCTCTCTCCACCTTAAAATTTAGAGAGTAGAGAAAGATGGGAGCGGGAGAATAGACATGCCTGACATATTCAAGAGCGTGACTGTCTATTATTGACAAACTCCCTTCACTCCCACCCCCCAAATTGGCCATCCTCTCCTCTCCACCTTAAAATTTTCCCTTCAATATAAGCCCTCCACTCCTCTCCTTCACCTTTCATTTATAAACATCCCTCCCTTCACTCCCCACTCCCAAATTTATTATCTCCTCCTCTCCACCTTAAAATTTGCCCTTTAATATAGGCCCTCCACTCCTCTCCTTCACCTTTCCTCTAAAGCTGCCCTCCACTCCCCCCCCCCCCACTCCCAATATGTCGACATGTGATAATCTCCCCTCCTCTCATTCACTACTCGTCGCCAAGATAGGCCCTCTCCTCCTCCCCCCCAAATTGGCCATCCTCCCCTCTCCACCTAAAAATTTTCCCTTCAATATGGGCCCTCCACTCCTCTCTTTTACCTTGCCTTTAAAACTGTCCCTCCACTCCCCCCCCCCCCACTCCCTCACTCCCAATATGTCGGACATGTGATAATCTCCCCCTCCCCTCATTCACTACTCGTTCGTCGCCAAGATAGGCCCTCTCCCCCCCGCCCCCAAAATGGCCATCCTCCCCTCTCCACCTAAAAATTTTCCCTTCAATATGGGCCCTCCACTCCTCTCTTTTACCTTGCCTTTAAAACTGTCCCTCCACTCCCCCCCACTCCCACTATGTCGGACATGTGATAATCTCCTCTCCCCTCATTCACTACTCGTCGCCAAGATAGGCCCTCTCCACTCCCCCCCCCCCCAATTGGCCATCCTCTCCTCTCCACTTTAAAATTCGCCCTTCAATATAGGCCCTACACTCCTCTCCTTCACCTTTCATTTATAAACATCCCTCCCTTCATTATATTGCTATTAATAAATTTTTGCCTTTTTATTTTGCCTTTAACTTTAATCCCCCTTCATGTTTTAACGTTATGCCGATAAAGTGTAAAATAAATTAAATTAATTTTAAATTATAGCAATGCGTTTAAAAGCTGTTTTATTATTAGCCTTTTATTTTGTCGGGATTCATTGTGCTCGTCATAAAAAGAAAAATGAAAACAAGGATGACAAAATCATTGCTGCTGAACAAGTCGAAAAAGCTAAGCAAATTTTCAGTGAAATTGATCATGTAATATTTATTTTTGTTAGAATTAGAGATTTAATTATTTTAAACAATTATTTTTGTTATAATCTAGGCTAATTTTAAAAATTTAAAATTAAACAGAATTTAAAAATTGTCAACCATAAATAATGCTCGTTTTTAATCTGGTTTTAAATAAACTTTTATCGGTAAATGTCCAGCTCGTGGCCTATATGTCCGCAAAAGGCATTCTGCAAAAAATCGCTGCATTCTACTCCTTACCGTATCTCTCTTATTTTCCATCAGTCAACAAATGATAGGTTGACATTTTGGCGCGACTAGTAAAGGAGACAACTAGGAAAAGGTTTATTTACAAAATAAATGAATAAAAATTTAAAGAATATAAATCTGCGAAAGGGTTCTCATATATATTTCAAGTAAATCAGGTGGATAAGAACCTTTGATTGGGTTATAATGTAATGATAGGAACCAGTAGAACGCCATATATTTTGGTAATTCACTTACTGTAATATGACTCATCTGTCTGACCATTCTAAATCGTAATCTATTCCAAAAAGCTTCAATTTGTTGAGTTGAAGCTGGACATTTACCACTTTTATCAAGATAAGTGCCGAAAATTTTTTAAATCTTGACACGGATTTTCGGTTCTAGACAACACCGGAACGAGATATTTTTCGGTTCGGGTATGATTCGTTTCAAGATATCTAGGCTTTTTCAAGAACAGATAACCCTAATCTTGATAATACAAACGTCTAGAAACTAAAATGACAATACATATTTTATAAAAGACGGGTTGAATACTAAATGTGACACTTTAGTTCGTTGCCTCTGTCAACAGAAAATGATTATAAATCATAGGTAGGGTTGACGGATCTCGGAAATACATAGATATCTGTAACTATTATGAAATGAAGGATACCGAATATCCGGTCTATTTTTGTATCCGGATATTCGGATCCAACAACTATTTTTAGGTTGAAAATGAGAATATCAATACATTGCTGAAATATGTCAAAAACTTTTCACTTGAAAATCTTGGACTTATGGTTGAACAACTTTCAAAAGTTAAAGATGCGGCAACAGAACTTTATCAGCCACATGAGGAAGAATTTGAAGGCATTCATCCTATTAAAAATGAAGAGTCGATCAACCAAAATTTTTTGAATCGAATTTTAGTCAATCTTTTGGAAGGTGTCGAAAATGGAAGTCAAGTTGATGAAGGAACAATGTCAGATGCAATTTCAATTTTGAAGTATTTCATTTATTACTTTCAAATTCCATCAACTCGTGACTCGAAAACTAATGAAAAGACGGGTAAGTTAATTAATAGTTCATAACTCTTCAATTTGATGTTTAAAATACGAATAACTAATTTTTAGCTCTTATAGGCACTCATTCATTCCTTAAAAACTCAATTCCAATTCGACGTAAACGCGAGAATGGCTGCCCAACAGCAAAACGTCATCGATGCATAATTGGCTCTGCTCTTGGAATTGTTGTCGCTGTTGTTATCGCTGTTATACTTTGGACAAAAAATGTTATACATATTCCACCATTTAACTAAATGGGCTCTTTGAAAGTCGCGAACGCAAGTTTTATTCTCTTCGGTTTATTTCATTAAACATTTGCGGTTTATCTAAATTGAAAAACATCTATTCTGTCCAAATCGTGTCCGGACAATGTGTTAGTGGACAATGCGTCAGTATTTATATAAAGTGATTAAAAGTGATGACATAAAGAGATAAAAAATGATATAAAAAGACTAAAGATGGGATATAATCAGATTAGGAGCATCTATAAAATGATTTTTGGTTTAAAAAAGTTATAGAGGGATTTGTTGGGATTAAAGCCGATATCTCGGGCTTGGGAGGATTAACAGATATATTAAGCTATTTGGTTAAATTAAGATGGAGATCAGCCGATTTGGAGGGATATCAGTGTATTTATGTCTGTTTATATCTTCATTTTCAATCACTTTATATCAATACTGACCAATTGTCCACTGACGCATTATCCGGGAGCTGTCCAAATTATTTCTTTGTCATTTTATTTCGTAAATCTTGTAGCTAGAATGCTTGGAATCTTACATAGGCGGTGTTGGTACTTTTCCGTTTTGTTACACCCTTATATATTTATGCTCAAAATGTCACATATAAGGTAACAAAAGGTGCATTCGAAAGAGCTTATGGAGCTGAGTCGAAAGACACCAAGATCAACGAAATCTGATTTGATTTGACCGAGATTCAGGTCTCTGAAAATTGAAGAACCACACAATTTTTTGTATCGTAACTCGGTCCAAACTTTTTCGAAGACGGTAATTTTGGGTCATTCAACTCAGCTCGTCGAGCTCGTTCGAATGAGTTATTATTTGCATATTTGAATTTTTTACCACAAAATTGCCCAATGGTTTTTGACCATTTCGAGCCCTTTATCTCTGTTCACAGACATCTCCTGGGAAAAATAAGGGTACCGTTCGACTCAGCACCTTTAATTACTCTATATGTGCCATTTTGAGCATTAATATAGGGGGTGTAACAAAACGGAAAAGTACCGCGGTGTTGAATTTTACCAAGTTTGTTCCTAAACTAGAAAAAATTAATTGTGCGGATAAATACCTGCAGCTCTAAGTTACGAACTAGCTTAAAAACTGATTGCAGATTCCGAACGGGAGTAAAGCAGCTGAGATATAGCTATTTCTCTCCCTTAGCTAGTGCAAAAGGTTATTCGGCGGCTAGGAGCGAACTAGCATTTTCAGCAGACCTGACTGATGTGTTGGCCATTACACCTCGCCGCCTACTGCACAGCCTTAGGAATTAAATAGCTATATGCTTTACACGGGAAAGTTTGACATCGAAAAACTGATTTGATCTAAAACTCATAAGCGATGCTAGCGAAAATTTTAGTATAAAATTTCCTGCTAGTTATGCTTTCTATGACTTAACTTCGACTTTTCTTACCTAGACATTAAAATTATTTTAGATAGCATCTAAATAAAACCATCTATGTATATTCCAAGTATTTCCTCTTTTTTCAAATCTATTATTTTTTTTTGTTTTTCGGTGGGTTATATCATAGTGTTTGCCGTTTCTGTTATCCTAAAACTATGGAAGTTTTGTGAACATTTCGTGTATGGATATCGGTTCCGATTCTTGATATCCGATGATTTTCCAGTATTCGTACCTAGAAACGTATTTTTAGTTACATTTTACGTTTGTAAAATTTTTACAATTTATTTATTGCGTACATGCAGTCCAACATATTCTAAAAATTTGATATGAGGTTTCAATGAACGTTAACTATAGTCATCACTCAGATTATTTTGGGCTGCTTAGTGCTTATTTTATTTTGGGTATTTTTGTTTTACCATACTATAAGATATCCTTAAAGGCTAAAAATTGTACCCTATAAGGGTACCATAAATTAGAGTTGATTTAGTTATCGCTCCAAACAAGAGACATAACTAATTTTAAAAAATCATCAAAAATCGTGGTATCTTATAGTGGAAATTCGCATATTTAAAGAACGTTACCGTATTTGCTCTAATAATTACCCCATATTCTAATTACTTTCTCCAATGAGAAATAGAAGCAATAAAGTTCCCAGGGTAATTATTAGAGCATAAACGGTAATCAACATTTTTACGAGTTTGATATTTTTTTATTATTTTTATTTTTTTATTGGTTATTTAAATGTTTTTTTTATTTTAGAAGTAGATAAAGTTGATTTTGGGATTATTTTATAATTTAGTTATTACATACTTTATTTAATTAGAATCAGGACTGTAGCATGTTTATTATAGTAGTGTTAGACATGGCCAACACTAATAAGATTACTTGGATAATTTTTCTTATTATATCCTTTGCCGAAACCTGTTAGATCGACAATGATTTTATAATATGTCATTTGATCATTCAACTCAGCTTAACGAGCTAATTCGATGGCATATTGTTTATCTGAGGTGAAGTTTAATATTAGGTATGCCGGATTTTTTTCTTATTTTTATTCTTTTTCATTCCGGCTACTGCAAATTTTGTTTGTTTAAAAAAATTTACGTTAACAAATTTAATTAAAATTTATTAAATTTTTCTTTTATTATTAAATTTTAAATGCCAAGTCTCTTAAAATTTTTTTTATCAAATTTAATTACACTTTGACGAAAAAAAATAATTAAATTTAATAACTAATGGAAATGTAAATTAAATCTACAGTGCTTTAAAAACGTAAACAAAACGTAAACGCCATTGGAAAAATGGTATAACTTGTGACTGAGTTTTGAAAAAACTTAATGTCGTCTTATGTCATAGTTAATTCTGCCTTGTTCTGTCCAAAACCAAAATTTTCAAAGACCAAGACTGGACCCCAAGACCAAGCTGAAAAAACCCAAGTTATGTCTTGAATCAGGACATAAGACCAAGAGTCTATGACAGCTCTACTATTGTCCACACTAAAATATGTTCCAGTTTTTACGAACAACAATATACCGTATTTTCTCTATTATAATGCCATGGCATTATAATTTCAATCACCTACCAGGGTGGCATTCTATTAGGGACTGGCATTCTAATAGTGAAAATACGGTATTAACAAAGCTGGATAATTTAATTCTTTCAATTATCTTTAAAAAATTTTCTTAATTAAATAAAATCGAAAAGTTTCTTACTTTTGTTAAATTTAATTTTAGTGCATATTCTTAGAATTGTTTATAAAATTATGTCAAAAAAAATAAAAAAATTATTTTTCCTTAAACATTCTTATAGCTGTCAACAATTAAATTTAATTTGTCTTTGAAATTCTTTCCCTCCTTTTTATTACTTAAACGTTTGTTAGTTAGAACACAGTCTTATAAATTGGGTAAAATGAATGTAACAACGTCTACAACTATAGATACTGGATCGGAAACAATAGTTGCTAGTCCAGTAAGTAAATTTATAAAGGATAATTCACCTATCTTAATTAGAAGCCTAGGTTGAAGGGTTAAACGACCTATATGGTAAAATAAATTGAAAGTTTTGCCCCAGTAGTAAGATGGTTAACCACCTGTAAAGATTTAACCGACGCACTGTGAGCCGATCACAATTCCATACCTACCTATTCCATCCCCACTCTTAATTTCAGCTTAAACAAATTAATAGGATTTTAGAGTTTTGAAATATTTTTTGGGAGCCAATCACATACATATACCAGGCTAATAACTTATTTTTAGCTCTATTTGGCTTATGACACAGATGCCGACTTTAGACTCAGTATCAGTTTGACAGCTTGTGTTTATGCATTATTGGCCACATTCGGAATCATATTCAATACATGTGTTTGCATCACTACTGTAAAATATAGGTAATCTTACACTAGGGGCATAAAACCTTGATCAATAGAAAGGTAAAATTATTAGTGTTATTTCGAAACAAATACATATTTTAATAAGTGTTATGTCCAGAGTCTTTTGAATTTTAGAATAGGTAGGTAAATTAGAATAGGTAGGTAAATTAGTTGTATGTATTATAGAATACAATAGAAGCAAAGATAACAGCCTTGTTATTTCTGAGATTTACAAATGTATACGGCACACACAACTAATTTATCGCGTATCGCATAGAGACTTATAATGAAGCTTGATTTCGTAATTATACTTTGTAATTAAGTAACTTAATCCGTCCCTCGACAGATTTACAAAAATAAGGCAAATACAATAAAGCAATTACGGCAACAATTGTTTTAAATTTACATACATAGATAAAATCAAAATTAATTTTTCTAATATTATGCGAAAATAATATGTATGAATTTTTAATTATTCAAAATTTATAGTCAAATTCTGATTCAGAAGTCTCCCATTTATACGACCTCTAGTCACTCGCATGCCCCATAGTTAAGTGGTGTGAATTAATTTGTTATCAGTTATAAACAAATTTTAATAATTTTTCAAATTTCAAAGAAAATACTACACTACCCTTCGCTCTAATACTTCAATACTTCTTGCGGTCGAATCCCTGCTTGAAATTATGCATCAAAGCGGGCATATAATTTTCTTTGTTAAATTTCTAATTTTTGGAACAAAATTTATAACAGCAAAAATAACATCTTTTATGATGTTTATTCCAACTTTTGGTGTTGGTGGAGCTGTTTGTACTCTGTTTTCGTTGAGTGCTGATAGACTTTTGGCTATTGTTATTCCTATAAAGTAAGGAGTTGATTATGATAATTTAGCCATTTTGGGCTTATTCCACAATGCGACATTGACTTCAATGTCGAGTTGAGTTGACATCGCTCGATTGACATTTAAAGTCAACGTCACTTCATGTATTAAAGATAAAGGTATCCCATTACAAATACCCTAGAAGAAAGGTATTGCCAATATTGGTGTTGTGTCCGTGCTTGCAGAAAGAACATACACTGCGGTGCATATGTTTATGCACACTAGTTTTTTGTTCATAATTTAATGCAATCTTATTCAAAAAATACGTTCTATATAGCAATCGAAAGCTCTATTTGTATCTCAGTTGACATGTTTCTGCATTTTCCATGAAAATAAAAATTGGCCGAGATAATCCGGATCTACCGGATATACCAAATCCCATATCCTCGGAAAAATTTTTCGGAAAAAATTTAACAAACCCATTTGATAAAGCATATTTTTGTGAGTATTTGCCAAAAAACCGCTTAGAAATATCTTTTTCCGGAACGGAGATATCATTTTTTTAAAATCGAAAAAAAGCGATTTTTTGACGAAAAATGGCAAAAATATGGTATTTTTTCGATTTTCAAAAATTCATAACTCGGTCGAATCTCGACCGATTTGGATGATTTTTTTGTATTATATGTAGAATCTAGAGGAGAATCACATATATTTTTTACAGACCTCAAAAAAATTTCTTCGAAAAGTTGAAAATGTAGTACCTGTTAGACCGGTCGAAAAGTTTTCGAAAATGTCAGAATTTCGAAAAATGCAGAAACATGTCAACTGAGATACAAATAGAGCTTTCGATTGCCATATAGAACATATTTTTTGAATAAGTGTGCATAAACATATGCACCGCAGTGTAAATGAAAATAAATAACCAATCATAAGATTTTAACGTGACACAATCATTCCGTGATGGTTCAATTCCATCTCCCATCCAATGAATTAGATATCACACTAAATCTCTTAAAATAATCTTTAGTTTACATAAATTCTTTCGTTTATTACTCCGAAGGCGAAAATTTTGGGGATTTTTGAAAATTTTAAGGATTTTAAGAATGTTCAAAAAATAGAAATAAAGTTACGAAAACCCAATTTGTGCAATTATTTTTTGCCAACATTTAATGCGACATCCAAAAATAAGAACAACCATCATACAACAATCAAACAAATCTATCAAAAATTTTTTATTTAAAATAAAATAAATTTAAAAGATTATATGGAGTAAAATTCACTGGCATTGGACAAATACGGCTGTACACCGAAAAATAAGTCTGGCTAAAATCTAAGCTATGGCTTTCAAACAAAAATACTTGGGGTCAAAAATGCAACATAACTCATTCGAAAAAAATAGCTCATTCGTCGTGCGATTCGATTAACACCAAAATCAACATATTCTAAAATAGGGGGCACTCCGTACCCCGACGACTTTATTGGCAAAAACCCCAACTCGAACCCCGAAACCCCGAGTCTATCTATTTAAATTCATTAAACTCTATTTAGATACACACATTTCCACCAGTCAAAATATATTATGAAACATTTAATTTTCATTGTAATCTACATTGTTCATTACACATTTGAAATGGTTTATTCAGCATTTAGTCAGCCCAATTTAATGGTATCGGGGGGACTTAGCGATTTAAGAAGTGCACCGCCTGGAGCAAAAGAATTGAACCAATATTTGAATTTGGCTGTTGCTCTTGGATCTGTCTTTAATTATTTAGTTGTTGGAATCTTGATTAAATTGAGAACCGGTAGTTTATTAAAAATTATTTTGTAAAATATGTTCTTTTTCAAAAAAAATTTCTTAATAGGTTATATGTAATGATCCGAATACCTATTTCAACACTCTCATATGTTTATTTTTTGTAAGATGGCTTTAACCATCTAATAATTTCAATAAGAATTTTTTCGAATTTAGAATACATTAATAGAGAAAACTACAAGGACTAGGAGGGATCGATACGATATTTTTTAGATATTTTTCGATATTTGGTTTTGATATTTATCGTAAAAATATAGATCTAAAAAATTTATATAACTAAACAAACAACTTCAAAATAAAAAATTTGAAAAATATCGTACGTCGTTAGATCATTTATTGGTTCCTTGCCATCGGAAATCCAAAAAATTTCTCCTGCATCTCAGAACGTGAAGAAGAGTCATTTCTACATATATTCACGTTTGGGCTTGCCGAATCAAGGCCAAGATGATATACTTGTCCTTTCGCGGTAAAGTGTACACTCCGATATGCGTCTAAAACCTCGGATCTCTCTGATATCCATCCAAATCCTCGCAGATCCCTTCTAATCCCGTTAAATCCATCAAATCCCTCAATATCCCTTCAAAACACTTATATAATTTCATCTGTATTATTGGTATTTCGGTCATTGTTGGGCATTACAGTATTAAATATGCTCCAATAGAAATTTCGGGCTTTCACTTAATTTAAAATTCTAAAAAAATTGTCAACAGACACATCGGATGACAGAATCAAAAAGCTTTATCGTTCTCTTTCTTTAATTGTTTTGATCAATATTGGAGGTTATCTAATTTTTTATACATTTATTGCCTTCACACACCTTCCATTTATTCAACTAACTCCAGTTCAATATTGGTATTGTACTTTAGTTTATGGACTTTTCTTGAATACAGCCGCTGCTTCTGTTGGGCCGATTCTTTACTTGAACAGGTAAAAAATTTGATTAAATAATCTACTGATAGACATTTGAAGTCAATTTCCTACTGATTATAAAGAGATCTCGATAAAAAAGAAGGGTAATACTTCGGTTCGTATTCCCCCCTATTTGTTTTCTGATCTCACTTATTTTCATGAGGCAAATATCAAAAAAGATTATAAGACATTTAAATAGTTTGGTCCGGTCAGCGGTAAGTTGTACATCTACCGCTGGCAGGTATCGCTGACACATCTATGTCTGTAGTTTGCTATATCATAAATATATTTGTTGATTTATTCAACATCCAAAAATAAGAAAACAAAATCAATGGAGGGACAGCAAACCGCAGTAGGAACCTAGATATAAACACTTTAGTTTTGGATCATATGTATATTTAGCAAAACCTAGGGAGAGTGTAAATGCTGTGGAGAAATTTATTTGTTAGAACTTGAATAAAACCATGATTTAATGAGTAATAGCTCGTACCTCTTGGTAAAAGAGATCCAAATAAGAACTCAGTTTTTAACAATTTTTTCTTTTAAAAAGGAAAAGTCACGAATTTTCTAAAATTTTCGCTTGCGGCGCAGAAATTGAGAGTACTGCTGCTCCTCCCTAAAATTTTCTGGTTAGTTCTTAGGTTCGATTCTTCGGTCTGGGCTCATTCTTTGTTGGTTCTATACCATCTCTAATGAATTTTACCACAGATAACATAATAAAATCCAAAGATTTTTCAAGAAAAGATAACATTTTCATGAGTAAATTCATAAATGCTTTAATCGCCTTTAAAATACTTTTATAATAAAAATAATAATTTCAGTGATGAATACAGAGAAGCATTTAAAAGAGCGGCTCGTGATTTGCTAAAATTCATTTTCGGTAAAACTGCGAACAATTCAACGAAAGTAATTCCGATGACAGCACAACGTTGATTGAATAATTAAAATAAAAACAGGAAGATCTAAGAACATTACAAGCCCAATACTGTAACGAACATAAATTTTATACAATTTTAAATTTTGAAACATAAACATTCTTAAATATATTTTTATGATAAAATTTTTCCTAATTATCCAAACTTAGAATATGTAGTTTGGTCAAATTTTGTTTTTTTTTGTTGCTTAAAGCATGTTTGGATTAAATTATCTTTCGAACTCTCGAAATAAAAACCTAGAGAAAAAAAATAAAAAAATAAAAAAAAAATAAAAACCTATAAAAAATAAAAACCTAATAAAAACCTATTTTAGCTTGTCTCATACTAAAATAGATACAACTTGTCACAATATAGCTTCACTGATATTTAAAACCATATTAAATTAATTAAATTAAAACAAATAAAATGTGAGTATTGGTGTGTATTGACTTAGTATAAGAAAATTCCAAACAGGAAAATTTCAAACGTTCAATAATTTACATATCTTCTTTAATTTTTTGCTTGTATGACTTACAGTAAACTCCGAGTTTGAAAGAAAAAACAATTTTTTATAAAATTTGTTCCAATACCATGAGCTTTCAAGCTCAAGAAATTAATTAAATTATAATTAAAAAACCTCACGAATTTGAGGAATCAAACCAAAAATTCTGAAGTAAAGGCAATTTTTGGACAGTCCCTTAATTAGTATTTTACTTTCAATTTAACCATGCTGTAAACTTTTGTAAAATATTTTTTCGAAGGAAGGATTGATCGGTAAAATATTGTAGAGGGTTATAGCTCATAAAAGGTGCATGAGTCGAGGGATTATTAATGCCAGAAAATAAAGCTTGTGTACAATTAATCCCGTGAATAACTTTTTTATAAAATGATGAAATTCCAACCTAGAAGAAAATGTTAAAAGAAATATGTATTGAACTTTTATACAACCTCCTGTGGTAATATGTTTTCAAATGATCCATTCTCACCTTCTTTTTTTAGTCAATGCTGCAAATTTGGTTTGAAATTCAGTGCTTTTGTGTTTAAATTGAGATGACTTCACGTATTTGTCGTGTTGCTTTGTTGTCATTTAATTATTTTATTGTTCTCAAGACATTCAGCAACACCTTTATTGACTTTCTTTTAAAGGCCTATATGCCAAATTATATTTTCTAATGACATTTATTTAAAAGTTATTTAAACGAAGGATTAAAAATATACAAATTAAAATTAAAAAATAAATGTAAACAGAAATTTTAAAATATAAGCTAAAAACAAAAAATAATCCTTTTTGGTGCCAAAAATTCAAATTTATGCAATAATGACGTTCGATATTTTTTTTTGTTTTTTATTTTGTTCGATCGATTGTTTCGATATTTAAATTTTTTCGGTTGGTATTTTTTCTATATCAAAAAAGTCAAAATTTTCTCGATCAGATTTTTCAATAAATATCGAAACCAAATAACGAAAAATAACTCTAGTTTTAATCTTCATTTAAAAAGAAATTAGTAACATATTTAAAAAAATTAGTAACATGGTCATTTGTTAGTTTTGAAAAAATAAATTGTCTGCGATTGTATGTGATTCCGAAAGCAGATTTTTCTTTGATTTTTTATTTTTTGTATTTTCTGTATTTATTTATAGTACAAAATTATAGTTTGTTAACTTATTTTAATGTTTTTAATTTTATTTGAGTATTTTTAGCGCTTTCATGAATATTTCTGTTAAATCATTTTGTTCGCCACTTTTGTATAGTTTGATAGCAAAAACTGCAGTCTCAATATGTGGTAAATCTAGGAAAATTTTAAATAAAAATCTTTAATATAGGTTGCCGTGAATATCCCAATAGCAGTAATCCTTTTAAACGAACCTAATATTATCATGCCTATATATTTTTCATGTAATTACCTACTCCCAATCTAATAATCCTCACTAAGGTTTTTCGATTTTCAGATCTATATCTCGTCCCGCAGGCTTTTTCTATTATATGTAAAGCACTGCCATTTTAATTTGCAAGACGAATCAAAAGAAATATAAATCAAAAGACTGGAACTGTTGGCTAAATTAATACAGCCAAATTATTTGCTACGTATAACGGGAAAGCATTGTATGATAACTATAGTAATGATATTTTACTTAAAAAGTCGTTAATTTATTTTTAAAATTTTATATAAAATGCTTACCTCTATTAATCTTATCATTCAACTTTTCATTTGTATTCTCAACGTTTATATTCACAAAAATTGCAGAATCTTTTTTCCCTTTAAATAATTTTACTGCATTCTCATTTCCATAAATTTCTAACAAAAATGTTTTTCCTATTAAACTGTTTTCGTCAAAATAAAGAATATGTTCGTTAGGCTCATCTTGAATTGTTTCAACATTATTGCTGGTACTTGCTTCTCCTTTTTCTTCGGTTACATTGCTTAATTTAATTATCACCTTCTTTTTGTTAACATTTTTATATTCTTTATCAAAAACATGATAAAAGATAGCTCTAAACCATGTTTCTTTTAATTCAATAATAAAATCATTATATTTTTCCAACAAAATTTTCCGTCTTTTTTCTATGTTAATCCGCTGTTCAAATAATTTAGTATGCTCTATTTTCATTATTTTCAATTTTTCTTCCCATACTTTTCTTCCTTCGTTTTGTATGTTTTGTAATTTTTCAGCCAATTTTTTCGTGTTTTCTGTTTTTAACTTTACTGATTTTTTTTCAAAAAGCTTTTCTTGTTCGTTTTTTGCCTCTTTTAGTTTTTCTTTCAATTCCTTATCATGTTTGCAATTTTCTTCATCGATAATATATTTTTCCCATCTCTTTTTAAACTCGTCATCATTCATCTCTTTCAATTTTTCCCTTTCATTTTTAACTTCCTCAATTAATTCAACAATTGCCATAGGTGTTTCTGACTTAATTTGTATTGCTGTCTCTGTTTCAACTATTTGGACAGAAATGAAATCATTTTTAGATTTCAAGCAAAGTCTTCCATCTCGTAATGTTTTATAAACTTTGCCTGTTCTAGTCATTGAACTCTTAATTTTATTTATCTCCTCAAACATGCTATTCGTAATCAAATTTATTAAGTTTTGGTAGCGTAATCTAATTTTTTCTGTAAGGAAAAATGATTCTTGAAGTAATTGTTTTAAATTGTTAGATAAAAGGTAGTGTATCGACCTTGTATCAACAATCATGCTTTGATTTTCCTTGAATATCTTTTCGTTAGAATCTTTTTTGTTGAGGATGACAGTACCATAATTAAATTGTTTAATAAAATCACAAAAAAATAAATCAAAAGGAATTTCAACATTTTTCCCTTCCTCAACTTTATCTAAAATAGCTGTTGGATTTTCATTAGAAGTATTAATGTCCACAACTTTTGTATCAAACAGCAAAATCAGCGACGATTTTTTATGATCATTTCCATGTTTCTCTTGTTCATGTACATATTTTGACAAAAGCTTTAAGCGTTCTTTTAAAGCAGTTTCAAAATTTTTTATATTTACACAATTTGAAAAATCATCCCATTTTTTATTTAAATTTTCTGCACGAATTAATTTATCAAATTCAGTACCCAACAAGAAACGGAATTTTGATGTCCATTTTTGGTTAATAAACCTCATTTCATCTATTACACTTTCAAATTGACTACTCACAACTGTTACATTTATTCCTTCTTAAAATTATTTAAATTGATTTTAGTTTTATAAATCATAAACGATTTTTTAAAGGTGGGTTTTATAGCCGGGCTGGATTTTCTTCCGCTTCCTCATTCCGTCTGCCACTTTTTTATTTTATTCCGCATTCTGCCGCTTCCACCTTCCGTTTTTTAAATTCAAAATTGCCCAGCCCTGAATTATAGGAGAGGTTCTGATAAAATGTACATAGCTTCCAGTATAGTCGCCCCAATGGACCTTCTACGAGTTTATCAAAACATTCTAATTAACATAAGCAATTAAAAAATACCCATAAAAAGTTCGAAGGCAGAATATAAACCAACAGGACTAGTATCCTCAACAATTGCATTTTTATATTCTTTTCTCGATTTCTCTTTATTTTCCAAATGCTTATTGTAGATTACTTCAATAATAGCTTTATCCAAAACTTTGCTTTGTATTTTTGATAAATTAAAAATGATTTTCAACACATTTAATGCTGTAAAATTAAACAGAGATTCCTTGTAGTTTAAAGAGAATGTTTTTTCCATAAATGAGTATATATCAATCAAAGATCCTTCTGAGCCTTTTGAATATAAATCTACCATGAAAATCTTGCAATTTATAACAAGATTTATTAAAGCCTTATAATATTCTTTTGTGTCCTCTGAAATAGCAGATTAATATAAACGAACCTGGCGCCCTATTTTTTATTCCTTAAGAATGTAGACAATTGGGAGGGATGTATATGCTTGTTGTAAGCAAAATCTACTTTTTTGTTACCAATTGATAGGGCATCATCGATTTACTTCAGAAAATTTTCGGCTTTTTGGCTAGGAATATGAAAATAAAGAGTTATGGGGCTTCAAATTTTGGCAAAAATGAGGGAGAAAAGGATTGCATGAGTGCTCGAAGCTAACATCGATCTGGGAAGTTAGGCAACGCTGAGGATGAGAGAAAGGAGAAGGGAAAAAGGTCAGCAAAAAGAAAAAAAATGAAAGTTGTCATAGGAGGGAAATATCTTACATTTTAGGGGAGTATCAAGCTATCCTAATTTTCGCAAAATTTGAATTCTCCAAACTTTTTTGTTCATATTTCTAGCCAATAAATTATAGATCAGATTTGGTGCCAAAAATCAATTGTGCCAAAAAGTACAACATTTTGACTTACAGTTCAAAACGTTCCCTTTGAGCATTATGCTCATTCATAAGGAAAAAAGGAGGGCCAAGCAACTTTTTACCAGAATTTGTAATATTATCATATTCTTTTATTTCTCTTGCAATATCTTCAACACTGTCAAGAGATAAGTTAATATTATTTAAGTTTAGCAGAGCAAATTCCATAACTTTATTTATGAGTTTTCCAAAAACTTTATTAAAAGTTTCGAAAAGGCTTTCATACTCCACATTTTCTTCAAGATGTTTATATTCTTCGAATTTAATTGGATCATTTGGATTTTCCCCTCCACGAGGCATTTCAGTTAAAATGTCTATTTCGGCCATTTGTTTTAATCGTTCAATGCGCCGTTCTGTAAAAATAAATATATCTCCATCTAAAATCCCATAAAGTGCCGGCGTTGGGCCCCAGTTGTGGGATGCCACAACTGGGGCAAGCCTGTTTACACACAAGTGAAAGAGCTCTTTTTAATAAAACTTTAATAAATAAAAATGTGTGAAATAAAATGGGTGGAAGGGGGATGGGGAACCGGCCAACGGTTCTCGAGATCAGAAAACTAAGACCGAACTGTTTTGGCCAGGTCCCCATCCCCTTAAGTAATGACAATAAAAGAGGTGTGACACTCTAAAAACGGGACTTATTTACTTTAACTACCCACCCCGAAATTTTGCCGGATATATTTTGTATATAGACAATTTATATATCCTTCGAAAGAGCTCGCTGAGCTGCATCGAAAGACACCAAAATCAACCCGCGGTCTCAAGTCTGAGCTGAGACAAGTGGGCTCAAAATGATCAGAGCAAACCTTGTGTAAAACCCGCGTTTCGCGAGGGTTTCGCGGCAAGTGCTTCGTGGGAGCTAAAGGTCGATGAGTTCTACACTAGTAACATAAACCTATACCTTTTTTCAGATTTTCAGCCTTAAAATTCGAACCTGCCCCCAGGCCGCACAAAAGCAGTTATTCCAGCGAAAATTTAGTTCCTCGTAATTTTGTTCAAAATCATCAAAACAATCTGATTTTGCTAACATTCGACTCAGCTCGTCGAGCTCTTTCGATTGACATATATATTGTTAAACTCTAATTGAAAAATCCCCTACTAAAATTTTGGGGTGGGTAGTTAAAGTAAATAAGTTCCCTAAAAACAACCATTGACTACAATTATTATACCAATAGTAAGGAAATGTCAACAAATATGTAGACCCCTCAGAGCCTACCCTAGGGTGCCCGGAACCGGTTTAAATAATAATACGTCTGTCATTCTTGTTCATAGCATCACCAGAGTTAAAATTCGATGCAAGAATCACAACAAAAATAGGCAATAATTTTGCTTTGCCTCCCATTTCTTTGTTGAAAAGAATTCGGTTTTTACCTTTTTTTAATGAAGGTTTTTAATTTTAAAATTTTTTAATAAAATGAAGAGTTATAGTGTTGATAATTGTATTTTTATGGAGTGAATGAGGATAAAAGTTGAGAAAGATAGATTTTAAAAAAATGCTTTTTGGACTTTTAAATACAAAGTGCATTTTAATTTGAGAATTTCATCATTACGCGTGAATGCCCTTAGTCAAATGAATTTTCTTTACTTAATAAAATTAAAAATTGATTTACATCCCTTCATGGGAAATAATAATTTAATATGGTTAAATAAACAAGTTAAATAAACAAGTGTTAAGAAATAACAACTTCCGTTGTACTCTTTTCAGCTTTTTTTTAAACTCCGAGCTTGAAAGAAAAAACAATTTTCTTATGAAATTTGTTCCAATGCTATGGGCTTTCAAGCTTAAGAAATTAATCAAATTAGAAATAAAAAACCTATAAAAGAATTTGAGGAATTCGACCAAATGTCTTTTGGACAATCACTTAATTCGTTTTTTACTTTCATTTTTTTTTACTTTCATTTCATTTTTTACTTTCAACATGCAGCAAACTTTTGTAAAATATTTTTTCGATGGAAGGAATGATCGTTAAAATATTGTAGAGGGTTATAGCTCATAAAAGGTGCATGAGTCGATGGATTATTAATGCCAGAAAATAAAGCTTGTGTACAAGCAATCCAATGAATAACTTTTTTATCAAATGATGAAATTTCACCTTAGAAGAGAATGTTATAAGAAATATGTATTGAACTTTTATACCACTTCCTGTTATAATATGTTTTTCAATTGATCCCTACTCACCTTCTTTTTTTTAGTCAATGCTGCAAATTTGCTTTGAAATTCAGTGCTTTTGTGTTTAAATTGAGATGACTTCACGTATTTGTCGTGTTGCTCTGTTGTCATTTAATTATTTTATTGCACTCAAGACATTCAGCAACACCTTTATTGACTTTCTTATAAAGGCCTATATGCCAAATTATATTTTCTAATGACATTTATTTAAAAGTTATTTAAACAAATGATTAAAAATATACAAATTAAAATTTAAAAATAAATGTAAACAGAAATTTCAAAATATCAACTAAAAACAATTAATAATCCTTTTTGTGACAAAATTAAAATTTATGCAATAATGACGTTCGATATTCTTTTGTTTTTTATTCAATTGTTTCGATATTTAAATTTTTCGGTCGATATTTTTTCGATAAATATCAAAAAAGTCAAAATTTTCTCGGTCAGATATCGAAACCAAATAAGGAAAAATATCTATAGTTTTAATCTTCATTCAAAAAGAAATTTTACTGGAGATAAACGATTTAAATTTTTTGTTGAGTTGTAATATATTTTTTAATTTCCTGAGTTTTTTGCGGTTATTTTCTATTTGTTTAGTTGTTAATGTTGTTTGGTCCTTGTTGAGCTGGGAATCCTTGTTGAATAACATAGGAAACTTTTTTTCAGGTTTAAACCTAGATTTGTACTTGCAAATTTCCGAATAGTATTCTTACTACGTGCTGATTGTTACTTACAGCACATAATTGCTGAATAGTCTCTACGCCCCCAGATTTGAATCCGAGTTCGTAAAGAGACTGCTTGGCGTCCGCAAGAACCCCCGCCTCGACATTCGACTCAGCTCGTCGAGCTCTTTCGATTGACATATATATTGTTAAACTCTAATTGAAAAATCCCCTACT